CTGAATTTTTATTTTTATTTGCAAATCAGAAAAAAATGAAGCGGGCGAATCCGTTAACCAAGAAATTAAATTGGTGTGGCCTTAGTTAATGTCAAGACTGACAGTAAACATTTTTATTCCAAAAAGTAATGTGCCACAAATGTTAGAAAGAAGAGTACATTATAATGGTGTGGTCAATTATTTTAATAACTGACCACTCATGATATGATTATCAACAAGTTGTCACACTTTGTATGGCATTACGACATAACTAAATTATAATAGAGACTTCTGATTGGCCAATGCCAGCTGGCCTTATCATAATGTTAGCTACCTGATAGTATTATACTATCAGGTACCTAACATATACATTGACAGCTTTTTTAGCATTTTTTCCAGAATAAGAAACCAGCCACATACAGTTACATGTACATGTATGTTCTTATTGTTGCAGAGTGAGGAGTGTCCATGTCATGATGACAGAAAGAGAAGACCTATGAAAGGAAACTACAGCAAGATGTTTAGGTACATGTATTTCTTTATCAATCAGCTTGACAGTAAATGTTGTAGAGGCCACACTGACTTTTTTTTTTGGATGATTAATTAATTTTTGCCAGTTACAATGACAATGACAATGAACTTTATTGCATGTTCACGCCCTACACGGGCCAGATGCACTTAAGTTAAATAACTTGGTAACAAGAATAGAAGAAGTAATTGTTACATTCGTGTGCTATTTCTCTATGTACAGGATCTAACTACAGGATCTCTTCTCTCTTTTTGAAACATGTATGAACAAATTTACATAGTTTTTCAATTATATCATAGTGCTTGGATGTCATAATATGTTTGAACAATTCTATTTTTGGCAAGTATGCAAATTTCTTTTCTAATTGTAAGGAGCTAATAAAGGATTTCCAGATGTCATTGTATACCGCACATTCTAAAACAAAGTGTGCTTCATCCTCTATACAGTTATAGTTACATAGAGTGCAAATTCTGCTGTCTGCGGGAGTCTGGTTGTACCTACCGATTTTTATAAAAAGTCACCTCTAACAAGGCTTGACAGAACTCCAGAACTCAGTATAGTGTCAAATCATAAATGCCACAGAAGTCCTCTATGATTGGGCTCTGTGTACAATGTTCAATGTGTGATCTTTTCAGTTTCCTGAGCATGTACATGTATGCATTATACCGTAGTACATGTACTTAGGATTTGAACAAAGGTGGTCACCTCTGATCACACCTTAAGAGATGAATTTACTTTGGCAGTGAAAAATCGCTTTGAAGCACTTTCTGAAACCTCAGATGCCATTGAAACAACCTACAACAATCTTGTTGAGTCCACTGAAGAGGTGTCCCTCTCTACCCTACCTAAGAGAAAAAAGGGTAAAAATACACCTATCAGCTCAAACAAACTCGTCTCAGATGCACGCAAGAAGGTGAACAAGGCTGTGGTACTACATGAGAAAAGACCAACAAGACACACCCTCAAAAACATTAACAAAACACAAAGACAACTTGATGAAGCCTACGCTACTGCTCAAGCTGAGTTCATCCAAGGTAAAATAGACAACATTACTCACCTGCATGCAACTCGACAGTACGAAGCAGCCTGGTTAACTATAAACGAGCTCAGTGGTCGGAAACCAAAGCCCTCAAGCAAAATAAAGGGTGGATCCCAAGAAAACAGGAAGGCAAACTGGCTAAACCACTTTAAATCTTTACTTGGCGAACCACCAAAGGTTCCCCGCAGTGAACCTCTTAGGAGGATACAGGTGTCAGAAGAACTCAACATCTCGACCGACCTCTTTACACTCGATGAACTCAAAACTGCACTAAATTCCTTCTCGAACAACAAAACCCCAGGTCTAGATAATATCCCAACTATTATATGGAAGGACCCACTATTTCACGAATTACTTCTCCATTTGTGCAACACTACGTTCCTTACTCATAAACCCCCCTTCTGCATGGCTCAAGGGTGGAATTATACCAGTGCCCAAAAAAGGAGACCTTACCTCTGTCGCAAATTACCGTGGAATTACCTTAATCCCCATTGCTGCTAAAATTTATAACAAACTTTTGTTAAACCGACTAGTACCAGCAGTTGACCCACTCTTGAGGAAAAACCAGAACGGCTTCAGAAGAGGTAGGTCAACCACTTCTCAAATCCTCTCAATTCGCCGTATCCTAGGAAGAGATGAGAAGATGCAACAGAGATCTAGTACTGCTATTCGTCGACTTCCGCAAAGCGTTTGATTCTATAGACAGAAACACCATGTTCGAAAATTCTCCCCCTGTATGGAATACCTTTACCCTTCATCAACGCGATCAAGTCTTTTATATATCGACACCACTGCTACAGTGATCACCCCTGATGGTGAAACAAGTCCCTTTGAAGTGACTGCTGGCGTCCTTCAGGGAGATACACTAGCACCGTTTCTTTTCATTATTGTACTTGATTATATTCTACGATT